AGGCCCCCGCCCCCCAGTGTTGTGAGAGCCTGAAATGTATAAATTATCAGTCTGTCTTGGATTGACTTCTTAGTTGCATCTTACTTGCAAAACCTCCCAAATTCAAAAGTGGTTGATGTGAAAGGCTACTTTTGTCAGATGTCTCACATAATACGGCTCCTGTTTATCCACAGCCATGGGCTGGAGGAGGGGTCATTGTCCAAAGGGGAAAAGTGGTGAAAGGAAACCTTCCCATGGGCCTCAAGCAGTGAGAACGGTGTGGGGGTCTGAGGTACTTGCATGTACTTCAGAATCATCCTATCAAATTTTATGATATAATTTCCCCCCAAAAGAACATAGCCTGGGAGAATCGATAAGTCACCAGCATAAGGATCTGCTTCCTGAATTTTTAATGGGTAGAAGGCCATCTGCCTCTCCATATGGAAGTGCTCTCCTCGCGCGCATGCAGCCAACACAGTTAGAAGCCAGAACCCCGGGAGGAGGCAGCCTTCGTGCTCCCCATGGTTTTACCTTTTACAGAATCAGTAAAGCCCTTTATTTAGAGTTCAGATATTCTACTGTTAATACTAAGGCCACATAGCTCAGAATATGAGCCCCTGGAAAATTGTTTTTAGTGGATGGAGTGAACCCCTTAATAAAAACAGTGTACTAAACTAATGTTGTCCAGTCAGTATTCTTTTAATTTAAAGTCATTTCACTGTATTTTATTTAGTGAGGCATAGCAAATGCTAAAAAATATTTTTCTTATTTTTAAATGATCCCTCCGCAACCTAGTAGCTATTATCAGTTCTTTCCTCTTAATTAGGATTTTGAAAAGCATTTTTGTTTGTTTTGCTTGAAGACTCCAGCGAGTACTTGGTGGATGATGAGTGCCTGCTGAAGCTGCTGAAGGGATGCTGCCTGAAGAACTTGCAGCGGCCCCTGCAAGCAGAACTGTGTTTCAATCATGTCATCCAAAGGTAAGGCCGGAGGGGAAACCGGCCCGAGTGCAGACTTGGCTCCTGGGGAGCAACTGTGAGAGGAATTTCTCTTGCAGCTACCCTTCCACTTGGTGTTGCCAGGCACAGAACCCAGTAGCGTTTTCTTTGTTCCTTAAGAACAAAATGATCATCTAAGTGGAACATGGCTTGGTGCATTTCCACTTGGTGTTTCAAGGTGACACACAAAACTAAATGCATGGCCAAGCTGACAGGTGGCTATATGAACTCGGGCAGCAATGTCCAGAAGCTCGGATACTTTGTTGATTCCTGCATTGCTTTTCCATTTATTTATTCCACAGATAGCTGAGCACCCACATGTGCCAGAGACTGAGCTGGCTCCTAGGGGTTCAGAGTTGAGGAAAGAGACTTGCCATCATTGTGATAATAATTTGGCAGCGAAGAAAGACAAGGGGTGAACACTGTGGCTGCTTCTCTTTGGGAAAAGGCGTTTCTTCTGTATATACATGAGTTTTTTGTTTTTGTTTTTTTCCTAGTAGCATTGATGATGGTGTCCTGGTCGTTTACTAAACAGAGAGTTGAGCCAAGGTTCTGATGCCGGGCTCTCTTCTTTATGTTTGGAGTCATAAATGCAAACCTCTACAGGGGCCAGACAAGAAACCTTACCAACTGAGGGCGGCAGTAAGGGATTGGTGGGCTCTGGAGATTCGGAAGATTGTGTGTTGTCTCTAAAGAATTCAGCCGCTCCTTAGCTCTAATTGATTATTGCTCTGTATAATGTAGACCAACTAGCAATAATTCCTACAATGTTTTCATGAAAAGCCTAGAATCTCCATCTTACGTAAAATCTCCTGATTTTTAAATATCGGTTCAAATTTTTTTAGAACACTGTAAGCTGAATAGATCACAGCCCCAGACTGCCCGCTGCCGTCTCCCCGTATCCTGTGCTTTCCCACCCACGGCCACTCATCTTCTTCCTGCTGAGAGTGTAGGAGGACTGGTGTCCTTATGAGAAGAGGAAAGAGACCATGTCTGTTTCCCAAATAAGTAATATACTTATAATTGTTACTAAGCATGTTAAAGAAGTATCCATTGAGTTCTGTGTTGTTTGTGTGTTTATAAGGATCAGAAGGATTATTAAAAATATTACGCATTTTGCCATTGGTTGTGCTCTAACAATAGTGAGTCGTTTGCTTCTGTGTTTTATAATTTTGGATCTTGCGTTTTTCTTCATTGGCATTTCATCTTGAGACTCCTCTGAGGTCAGGACTTAGGAATGGTCTTTCTAAAGTCATTTTGCTTTTCGCCCTGGCTGGTTAAGCTCAGTGGTTAGAGCGTCTGCCCATGGACTGAAGGTCACGGGTTTGATTATCGGTCAAGGGCACGTACTTGGGTTGCAGGTTCGACCCACAGCCCCGATCAGGGCTCGTGCGGGAGGCAACCAATCTATGTGTTTCTCACGTCAAT